TATGTGTTATGTATTCTTTCTGAAAAATTTCATTTGATGAATCCTTGGAAACAATTACCTGATTAAGTTTTTAGATAATTTAGAAATTGGTCCATATTTACTACTAGATGATGCATCAAATGGCACAAATTCATCATCAAATAGGATAGGATCTGTGCATCGAAAATTGTTATTACAGTTTATATTCCATGGAGGAACCATGGGACTGTTAGGCGTGTTTGTCCATATAGAGAAATTTGATGATAACGCATCTCCTTGTATGTCATAATTCTGTAGGTAATAAAAAAAAGCAGTAATAAAAAAATATATATAAAGTACTGTTGTTATAATAATCCTATGGCCGTACCGTCTTCATTTGCGGCACTTGTTTGTTGACAATTGTTTCAAGTTGATTTAAAATTTCCATCCTGCGTTGCAGCAACATAGCCAATGTTTTGGCGACTGTTCGCTGCTATAATATACGGAAATATTTCAATGTATAATATATATGGAAATGTATAAGAAAGTTTGTATGTACCTAATAATATTTGCTAACAAATAAAGAAAAGAAATTTAGATCACCTTTTTAGTATTGGAAATTCCATTTGTCACACTAGGTGAAACTTGCGATAAGTCCCACATACCGAGATTAGGTGTTGGATAATCAACAGGTGCGTTAGGCATAATGTAATGGGAGCAATGCATATCCATATTTTTAGTTGGTACCGTAGGCAACATTCCTTGAGGTGATGGTAGCATATAATTCGTCAATGACCCAATAAACTTGTTCTCATTTGTTGGAGTATGATGCTGTACTGGATTAACTTTATTCATAGAATTAAAATCTAAAATGAAAATAGCTGCAATTTGAACCAACTTTTTACGTTATTTATTTTACATAAATACTTACTTTCTCTATGAGTATTATCATGTGATTTTATGGAATGATAAGATGTATCGTCATTCTGTTTGAATGTCTTGTTATTTGATCCAGTAACTGACTTGTCTGTTTTCATATCTGAGTTGTTTGCTACAGGTAAATTTGACCTAAGACTTAATTTCCGATTTTTTGATCTGTACCTAATGAATGAATAAATACACATGGATGAGAAATATATACATATATACGTCTATATAATTTTTTAAATGAATACACAATACATATATGCTTACTTATCCAGTTCCATATCACTATGAGCAAATGTACAATTAGTAGATCTAGGACAAGATCCTCGAAGTGCAAGATCTCGACACATGCTCACTTTATATTTTGGTTGACCAGGACCTACATTGTGTGTACCATCTTGTGTCTTTCGATTACCATGTTGTTGAATAAATTCTACTAACGCTGCAACTACAGTTCTAACAGCTTCTAACGCTGCACGACATTCTGCTAATGTAGGAGGTTCAGTTTCTGTAATAATAGTAATAAGTTAAATATTCTAAATAGTTGACTTATGTACTACAATCATCTGATGTCATAAATTATACCTGGGCTGGGATCTATTGCTGCTAGCAGTTCTAATTGTGGTCTTAAACTACTTAATTGTCCAGGATCGGGAGTACGTTGAAGAGCAATAACCAATTCTTGTACACTTTGAGCAAAAGATTGTGGAGTTTGAAGTTTATCTATAATACTTTGCATATGAGACTTATGACTGGTATCTCCATATAACAATGCAGACCATTGATCAGGTGCTATTCTTAAACCAGCTTCAGTTGCAATTTGCACTATCTGGGCATCATGCTCTCTTCTCAAAGCTTCATATGTTCTAAATTCTTCTTTTAATTGCATTAATGACGAATCTCCTTCTCGTTTAGATACCTAATCAAACATTGAATCTAAGAACTTCAAGTTTCCTAATAACACATAGTGATACCTACAAATAATAAATATATCTTACCTTGAAACAACTTGCCCTATATAACAATTGTACAACATGTCCTATACTCGTTTTAGAAGCTTGAGGAAAATGTGATTCTAAACGTTGAACTACAAACATAACCAACACTTTCCTAGAAAGAGCAGATCCATCTTCCAAAGCCAATAGAACAAGTTTGAGTACTTCTTCTTGCATTGCTAAAAAAGAAACGATTATTGTTGCATATTATTTTAATAAAATGTTATTTTATTATAACATACCTGGTCCAAGAAATTGACATCCACGAGCACGTACAGCAGCCCATAAATTAGCATTAAGTTGTTGTGGATTTTGATGTTGGAGTATTAATTCTGTAACTGATCTTTCACCTAAACTTCTAGCTGCTCTTACTGCACGGGCTCTTCCTTCTGGTTCAACCAACTGACAACCCACCAGAGTTACTAATTTTCTTTGCATAGGTCGAGAAACAAGTCCTACACCTATTATTTATTAAAACATACACTCAGATTATATATTGCTAACATATTGCTACAGTTAATTATTAATATTACCTGTGGCCAAAGAAGGATTTGTCTGACATGGTTTGAGATATAGAGCAAGTTCCTCAATGCAACGTTTAGCAACCAAATAATTAGCATGGTCTTCAGGTGGTAATAATTTTTGATAAGCTGTTGCAACATTTGTGGGAACAGGATTTCCCACTAATTGTAGTAAAGCTTCATTTACTGGTAATCTTTCTATTTCTGTGTTAATAACACTCTGAAATATATAACATAAACAAATTATAGTCTAAGATAAAAAATAATTTTGTATTGGATATTATAAATAGAAATCTTAATTCTTAAATAATCTACAATAAATCTTAATTCTACTTATAAGATATTAATAATATGTACCTGATCAAAAGGGCACTGTTTACGATGTAAATTTGCAAGGCACGTACGACATATGGTATGACCACATCCTAAGGATATTGGACCACGTAGGGCCACATCAAAGTCATGACAGCAAACTGGACAAGAAAGAAATTCAGTCCACTGTGGTGCCTGTATTGGCATTCTACAACAAAATCAAATTAAAATGTATCTTTGATCTTTTTACAACTCTCTGCAACACCATTATTTTAAAAAATAATTAGAAAACTTAACGTTAAAAATTAAATAATGTAATTCATGTTTTATAAAATCTTTCATTTACATTTATCTAGTAACCATAGATGCAAAAATTCGTAAAACTGGATACTGCGTTATCAACTAAAAGCATCTTTCAGCGGGATGAATTTATTTCGACAGATAGTAAAAATGTTTAAACTTAACATGTAATTACGAAATTTGATCGATTAATAGATTTAATGACCAAATAATAAACGAAAAGTAAACTTCGTTTCGATTGCAAAACATTTATCTATGTACATAAACTTGTTCGAAACAATAACGTTTGCCTATCAATTGTTTTCTATGCGACGATTACTATTTTTCGTTGATTTTTTCAAGCATAAAATCCAAAGCTTGCCAAAAGAAAAAAGTGCGCAGAAAATATTTCAAGCGTACATCGTTTCGATCACGCAATTAGATCAAACTTCTTTAATTGCTGTCGCTCTCTCTGCTGTTACTCTCGTGTTCATCGAACGTCTGCTCTACATAAAATCGAAAAAACAGTATCCGCTTTTGCCACGAGGAAATATATTGATGCAAAGTATTGTCGTTAAAATAACGAATGATAAAAAACTTACCTCGTTATTGCCCTCACAAAACATCACATTAACTACTCAGTTACTTCGCACATAGTTCTGCCATTGAAGCAAGAACAGATGAATCACAAATAGTAAGATGAACTCAGCACGATATTCCTCACGTATACTTTTTTTACTTTACTAGCGCCCATGACGAAAACAATCTAGAAAAGTGACTTTCCAAATCCTCTCTGTAGGGAGCGCTATAAGCAGCGTAATACCAAATTTTCAAAATTCAATAAATCAATTTCAAGTCGTAATAGTTAATTGGATCCAAAAAGTTATATCATAATGACATTCATGAAATATTATATAATTCTATCATTTTTTTAATTCTATCAACATTTGTATTCGTTTTGTATGATTGTATAACATCATTCGAAAACTAGGCATTTACTAATTTAAAAACATCCGCTTTGTAATTATTTTAGAGATTTGTGTTTATTCGTAACATTGAATTTTTTAAATTCTATTTATAAAATATAAAAAAATGTACAAGTCACTGATTGGATACCCGTGTTATCTTTTATTATATCTGTGAACTATATTCATCTATTCGGAATAATCATAATCAAGTTTCATATCTACCAAAACTATAAATGTATGATTTGTTTCTTTTAGTTCACTATCTCTGAATATAATATTACTGAAATTACCCATTTTCTGAGCGTGAAAAACATTGGTGGACATGAGTTCTTTTCATACAAGAATCGTGTAAGCTTCAATGTACTAAATGAAGCTTACTGTAGTTGTTAATCAAAATCATTAAATAAACCATACAGCAGATAAACTGACATCACGACAAGATAAATTCTAATTAAAAATGATACCGACAAAAGCGGAAATATTATGGTCCGATTTCTCATTTCGTATGTTAACGAATACCATTACACATCCCATAGAATACGCTAAAGTTTTAATACAGGTAAAATATGCACAGTGGATAAATTACCTGGAAACTATGTATTCATTGGAAGCTTATAATTTTTATTTATAACATAATAGATCGGATATGAACCGATTCCACCACGACGGACAACTACTATATTTCGACAACCAGCTTTAGCTTTGCCTAACGTTTTTCAGTACGGTAAGCGATTGTTTTATGTTTGATACATTTATGTACTACTTTTTTTTTTTTCATAAATATTTTGAAATTTTTTATAAAATTGTCTTTATAATCATTACAAAATATCTTTTGCTTTGATTATTAATTTACAGTTAGGTATATCAAAAATGTGGATGGGTATACTGGCTGCTACCGTGGTCTTATTCCAAAATTGTGTGCCTCTACTGTAAGTGCTGCAGTTTTTGAAAAAACATATAAATCTATTAAATTTGTAGATGAACCAGGTAAAGAAACTGATAATGCTGATTTGGGAAAAAAGTAAATATACATATATAACAAAGTATCAAAACAGAAATATATAAAAATAAAAGTAAATATACATTTTTTTATTTTTTAAGATGTATGTATGAATTCATACGAGAACTGATTAGCAGAATGATTGGAATCATAGTTAGTCATCCATTAGATGTTATTGCATTAAGGATGATGGCACAATTTGTTGGTGGGGAAACAAAATACAAGTACATAGTTAATTAAGCAACATAAAACATATGTATTTTGGTACTAATCATGAATGCACAATTTCTATAGTTATTCCTTTACTTTTATCCTTTAATAGTGGACTATTCAGATCATTTGTGGAAGTGTATAAAGAAAATGGAATTATGGGATACTATGCAGGATTAGTACCCCGTCTTATTGGAAATGCTGCTGTATTAATATTAGTCAGTTCATGTACTTATGCTATTGATAAATATGTTATAAATTACCATGGTGAAATAAGACCAAATGCTATTACCATCATAAAGGTAAGTAGATTAATTATATAATTACTATCTATATGTTACATAAAATTACAATACAATGTGTATATTTTACAGTTTATGGCTACATCAATTACATATCCATTTTTAGTGGTTTCACATTGTATGGCATCTTCCTCCACAAATGCCAATTTATGATAACTGGTTGGATTGCTGGTCCCACCTTTCAGACACTAACCAATTAAAAAGAGGAAATAGGCTTTTATGGCGTTATTATACAGGACCACAAGTGATGATCAATGGAGTACCTATGCCACTGAACCAGAAATTTGGTTACAGTAACTTGTATTTGAAAGACAAATAGTAAAATCACTTTTGTGCTATATATATTTTTTGGAAATTTACTATTATAGTACATTGTTGCATTTCTATATTCCTTTGAATTTATCCTAATTGTTATTACACCAAATATTGATTATAGACTTTTCTTTGGTATTATATTTTATTGAAAAATGTTATTCATATTGGAGGCTTAACAAAACAAGCATGTAGTTTGTATTCAAGTATAATGAATAAAATTTATTATTAATCCAATAATTAACATTCCCTTTGATGTGCAATAATCGCATTTAAATTACTGTTTAAGTAAAATAATGTCTTTCAAAAACACAAAATAGAAATGATTACCTTGAATCATTTTTTCTTTATAAATAAAAGTTAACATCTGTATTAAATTGGACAATAATTGCTCAAAGATTATAGAATTATATCTCATGTACAAAGTGTGTAAGTTGGTATTGAATCATATTCAAATCCCCTTAATTTTATGTAGAGTGATTATCTCTTACAAAAAACAATTTTTGACCATATTTGTATATATATCTACTTTGAATACACATAAATATTACAAAAATAAAAATAAGTTATACAAATAATCTTATGTAGATTTTCTTTTGTTACTGAATTACAAATATAAATATATAGCTTGACCTTAACATACTAATGGTATTATAATTTTTTGCATAAATTAAAACTTTCATATATTAAGAGAAAGGAGAAATTTCTTCTACAAAGTTTGCATACAATATTACCAAATAAAATTTTAAAAATTATAATTGAATGGTAAAACGTAAAATTTTCTCAAATAAATAAATATGTGGTTTACGATTTTTATTATTTATTATTTTGATAGTTTTAATCAATTTACAACATGGTTTATCAGGCATCAAGAAGTTACATGAGTATTGCATTATTGGATTGTACCTGCTTTCTAAACATCCTACAAATACTATACTGAAGCCTATATTGTGTAGCATATTTTTAAATTCTCGTATAAAAAAAATATCGACTTGAACTACAACTTTAAATAGTACACACATATTTCATCAGATATTATATTTAAACTCTGACTTACTTATATAGTGTAGTGGTATGAATGTGAATAATGAACAAAATATTTAATATATACTTTCCTACTTTAAACTTTACTTAAGTAAAAAAAATCATGTACTGAAAACATCTGAATGTAACTAATGTGGCTTTATTTTTAACTTGATAAAGGTATTGCAATATTTTACTTACAGTATTGTGAAATTGTTTATTTGCAACTGATATTCCAATTCAGAACAAATTACTTCAGTACTGGAAACAGTAATGAAGCTGAATTCTTATATACCATAATTATGATGATTGGGCATTATAAGATGTTTTTATTTTCTAATCTAATCCCTTTATATATATTAGGCATTATTTTTGGTTCAAATACATTATTCATTCATTTACATGGGAATAAAATTATATTCTACTTCATTATTTCATGTCATTTAAATCTGTTTAAGTCTTAAAATGTTTTGTTTCTAAAATCTTTGAATATATTTCCATATTCATAAAAAAATAAATCTTAAAGAATTAATTTAATAAATTTCAAATGATAAGCTACAAGTTCAAAATTTGTATGGAGACAAAATATTTAAATTTATACAATCTATCACATTGCATTTCGTATTATTAATGCCAAACAATAAAAAACGTTTGTGACGTTTCTAGATCGGCGAATATTCATTACTTATTTGTAACTTAATATATAAAAGTATTTGTGTAAGCATGGCAATTAAAATACAAGTAAGCCTAAAAATTGACGAAGCATTTTTCTTAATTTTAATACAAGTCAAAGGAATGCATTTTTCAAAGGTAAATTTACATAGCCTTTTGTTTTATTTACCTTAGACTTTTCTTGTATCTATACAATTCCATGTCTTTCAATACATTGTTGTGTAAGGTTTTCGATCTATTTCGTTCCAAAGAATTACTGTAGAACTGTACACCATTTGGTTTACCTTCTTCATGATGCAATAAAGATTCAAACCATTAACATTTGATATTTATTTAACAAATATTACCTTATGCTATTAGATATAACAAGTGATTGCTGTCAGGTTTATGTTATCACAACGATAATTATAAGTTTCGTACTCTATATACATTGAGGAATACTGTATGTCCAGGAATGCTTTACAGAACCAATTAATTATGAAGCACATTTCAATTGTAATTACTGTAATCTAAAATATGTCTTTGTACATTTAAACAATAAATATGCAGCATGTCAGAAGACTGTTCAGTATTCACATTCCTTGGCAAAAGTTCTGACAAATATCTTGCAAGTTCTTTATTTAGGAGTTTCTTTCAACTACTATGTAATGAAAGATTTCCTTTTTCTTTAAATACTACGTATATACAACAGTATACCTGTCATTAATTATTATAAAAAAAAAAAAAAATGGAACATAAAATAAATAAAGTACTAATATTACTGTGGCAGTATAGTACTTAATTCATTAATAGAATGTAACTTTGTTAGAAGATATGATCATTATTTTATAATAATCTACTAACTAAAATTTTTCATTTATATCATTGTTTTCAAATTGTATAAATTATATGTCTCCAACTTATAATTGTTCCCAAAATAAGTAATTAATAATAATCTAAACTATACATTCTAATTTCTCTAGAATAATTGATATTGTAAAAAATGCTAATCTATTTGTAATATCTGAAAATGTTAGTCAATTTTATATTAAACAATTTCAGATATATTGATATATAAAAAGTAAATTTCCATTGAGATTTTATGGTTAAATAAGTCTTAAATATGCTGCATTTAAAATTCATGTGAAATTAAGTTTCAAAGCAATATCTTGTGATATTAATTCATTTATGATTACTAAAAGAATAAATTTCCATGAAGGTAACATTTTTTTCCATTTGTATTATAGAAGGTATCTATAATGCAAAATTATTTACTTGTTATATACTTCTAGAGTATGGAACTTTATGTATATACTTTTATAACATCTGCAATAGTTATAGAAATTTCCAGAGAAATACACGCAATACTGAAAATATAATAATGACTATTCAAAAGATTTTATATACTTATAGTAACAAAAATATCGTTTTTAGTATTACATTTACTATGGAAAATTGACTCATACTTCTATACATATGTATAGTGACCAATTTGTAGTATATTCCAAAATATTTTGTATATCCTGTTTGTCAGAGGGAGGGATTTAAAAACAGATACTATAGAAATGATCTATACATTGCGCTTAACGTTTACACTCCTAATTGTAATGTTGTCGTATTATCTTATACATGTATTAATATTCATATAATAATTCGAAATTTCATTGTATGAGATATCTACTAAATGTTATAAATAATTTTAGCATATATTTCGTTTTTATTCTGCATAAAGTTCCATCATCTTATTGTTCTTTGAAATATAATTTCGTACAATACAATATGATGTATGACAAATATTATGCAGTCATCTTTAGAATAATTTGACAAGATGTATAGATATAATTTCATTACTTAAAATATCGTTGATTGATTGATTAGGAATAATATACTGAAAATTATAATTACCTATTGTACATTTTAAATTATTTGTATTTGGCTATGAACGTAAATTAGGCCATCGCAATAGTGCAATAATTTTCGTTCAATAAGATTTACTATGTTTATTCGTGCATATAACTCAGATTTGTATCTGAAAACGAAAATTTACATTTACTTTTATTTAACGAGTACCTATTTCATGAAAAGTAGAATCATACGTATATGCACAATGTTTTAGCATTCATTGTTCATCTTCATTCCTATTGTAATTACCATTTGTTTCACTATCACTTTTCTATGTATATATTACAATATATACATAGATAAAACAAAAGATAAGTTTTATCTAGATCTACGTTTAATACTAATCGCAATGTCATGAGTCGCTTTTTGCACATGAAATGTATGACTATTTGAATAAACAGATTATTTCAAATCTAATTCGACTTCTGGATTCTCTAACGAGAAAGGTTTCAGATTTTCCACAACCGGTGTTTGATCAGGATCAACCCGTATGCGGATTCTATTGGTCTCTAAAGATCGCGGAAGTGTACGTGGAAGATCATCTTTATATGAACCAGACATAGGTGAAGTATACGGTACATAAATTCGTACAACGTCTGGACTTGGTTGATGAGGTGTTGCTCTGGGCGTGGGTAAACCACCGCTACCAGAACTAGCATTAGAAATATTACTTTGAGTATCAAGACTATTGTCTAACGCTTGAGACCGTGTCGCCGAACTAAATACAGAAAGGTCAGCTGTTGAGGTAACAGATGTATCTGCCAATGACCGGCGCGAGCCATTGGGAGAGGCCCCATCATCAAGACTTGGATCAAATGAGAATTTGCTTCCTGCACATATATGTAATTTTTATTATACTGCAACAGGATATTGGAACAAACATGTTTTGACAGAATACTTTCGCATAGTAAGTGTAATACATTCAACTTAAACTTGTCTCTAGAAACACCTTATATTTTCTTCATAATTAGCTATTAATTAATGGCAATCAAATTTGGCATAATTCTTATAATACAATGTTGTGCTATTATGTAATAAAAATATTGTATAATGTGCACTAGTATATTAATTTTTCTGGACTCGTACATTGTTTTATTATTTATGCCTCTTTATACAAAATTTCCTGAGTATTCTAAAGAAATCACAGTCTATTACTCTTTACTTTTGATTTATTGAATAAAAAAATTATTAATGAAAACTCTTAATACAAATTTAGAGGCATTTTTATTTTCTTTCTAATGATGCTAAATCTATAAAAAATTTGCTTATAATTACATAGCAATAAGTATATAATACTTCAAAATATGGCTTACATAATATTTTCATAAAGTTTTATCTATTTATCTATCTATACATATACAGGGTGTGCAACCTAACTCGCATACCTTGAATTATTTTTAAATTACACGTTCTACAAAAAAAGTTTTATATGCGAAAGTTTGATTTCGAGCAGATTTTTATAAGTGGAAATATTTTATGCTTTCAACTTACAGTTGCTAATATGCTTTTTTTATTCTTGATTTTCATATTATATCGGCTTCTAGAATCACTCCTTAAATTTTCTACCAACAGTTGCCGAACACTGTATAGTTCTTCGTCTTTTTGTCTCGAAATTTATCCCAAAATTTTAACAGAGGTAAAAGAAAATTCGTATCTCTCCGTACAATAAGTTGTATGAATTTGTAAAATAAAGAAATAATTTTTTGTACAATGCATAATTTAGAAATAATTCAAAGCATATGAATTAGATGATGCACCCTATATATAATGAGCAATATTGTGCATAATACTTTTAGTGTTAAAATCTTATCTTTGAAAAGTATTTTACAGTCTAGTATTGTATATAACCATTATATCAATATCCGAATCCCTATCTTTGTCTTCATCACTAATAATACTCTCTTGTTCAGAATGTAGAAGGCAAGTATTTGTATTACCGTGTTCTATGTTTTCACTATATCGTAACTCACCGCCAAGACCACAACTGGTTTGTTCGACTGGTGTTGTACTTTCTCTACCGTCATCAGTAAGTACCAAATCTCTACGTTGTGCTATGGATTCGCGCATTACATGTTGTGCTTCGCTAAATTCTTCAGAACGTCTTCCAACCTAAATATATAAATCAAAGTATCAAGATTAATTTTTTCATACTTTTAATTATTAAACTATTACATATATTCAAGTATTAATCTATATGTAATATAAAATATATTAAATGGTAGACATTACCTTGCTTGCAAATGAAGGTTCTTTAAATGTGCCGAATGGATATCGTGGTAACTCATGTGGCAAGGGAGGACCAGGATAATCCAACTTAGAGCGTTTTAATTCTTCCATACTACGTTCCATAGTACTTATTACTGTATCATCATCAAAACAAAAATCTTTTTCTAATTTAATTTGCAAATAATTACAAAATTCATCTAAACTTTCCATTGGCATGAGAAAACGTTTATGCATTTTCATGACTGTATATGCCATAGCAGGTAAAATACGATCTCCGTCTAGTAAAAATATATCCCAAATTCGAAGACCAAGACTAACAGGTGTCTGTTATGAATAAATAATTGTATTTAGATATGTATTAAAATAAAATTACTCATGACCTGATAAAGACAAACGTATCTTCTTACCCTTTCTTGAAAAACAACGAAAAACCATTTTAGTGCATAAAGAATAGAATCGCAACCGCATTTATCAAGTTTTCGTTTTAATTTTGGCAAAAATTTATTCATAATTTTATCATGATGTTCTATAAAGCGATTTAATTTTGGGAAACCATCAACATAAAATCCTATAAATAAATATATTATTTAATATTGGACCAAATTTTTGTCTATTTTTAAATTTATAAAGCCAACTCAGACCATGCATGGTATACTTCTTATCTGCAAGCAATACAGAAAGACCCCAAAATGCATCTTCTTCATCCATGTATAGTAAAAGTAATCCAGCTAATACAGACATTCCTTGACAATAACCCACTTCCATATTATACATGCTATAGGCAGCCAATACATAAAACATAGATCGTTGTTTTATGCTGTATCTTTCTCTATTTGAAAAAAAATAGAAATTTAATATAACCTTGAATTTAATAAATATGTACTAAGCTTTTACTCAGTTACTTTTTGATAATTTTTAAACTTAGTTTACACACCTATAATTGATATGATCTCTGTATTGTCTAGCTACATCAGCATCAATTTGTCTTATTTCAGTAGACCATTGACGTGCAAGCTGCAACATCTCTTCATATTTACCAGCTTGTTCTTTTTTCAAATTTTTAATACCCAATAACAATGCCCAAACTTGACCACGAAATCTATTAGGAATTCCTTTATATACTCTGCGTCGTAACTTTTCTTTAGTTGTAGAACTATCCCATTGTTTTGTCATTTTCTCCCATTTTTTTAATCTTTCCATTTCCACCCTATGAGTTTTAACTTCATTAGGGTCTGGCTTCTGTGGTAAACGTTTGTCACTGAAATAAAAATAATACATATGACAAAAAATAACAGTAGTATTATTGTTACCAACTTTGTCATAATTACTGTATAAATCCATATCTGTCTGTGGCATGATACACTTCAAAGGTAGGATCTTCCCAAGGATCAATTTCTGCTCCATTCTCTCTACCACGGTCATAGCAGCTAAATATTCTATCTCGCTCTGCAGCAGACCGTTTTAATAATTCTTCCTCATTCATCCCCCGTGAGAATTCGCAACCAGACTCTTACAAACATGCCGTTTTGTTAAGAGGATTCTATTCAAACTAGGTTGTTATCTACAATGAAAGCAAATAATACTAATAATAAAATATTTGTAAAATAAACTTTTCTTCAGATTCTTAATAAATACAATAACTCTAAATTTCTCACTGTATCTATATGTAGTAACACAATTCAGAGAATATAATTCTGAAAATTGTTATCAATATATATACAACTGTATATAAAATCATACTAAAACATAATTGTATTTTGACTTCAGAAAATAAGAAGTACTAAATGAAAATGCATGGAAATGTAAAATTAAAAGAGGAATAACATTTTTTCCCTTATATATACACGAAATAGTCAAATGTAAATCTATCATAAATTTCGATATTCTCAAGTTAATGTACTACATATTGACAAGAAAAAAGGTTATATACATAGGAATTAAATGATACTCTTGATAAACGCTCTTAATCTTACCGCTAAGAAATTAATTATATAATTATAAACACTGCATGCTTATGGGATAACTAGTTTTCTTCGTTTCATATTACATATAAAATTGTTTCTTCATAAGTCATTCGATCAGCAAAACTACCGTACATACATACCAGTACACGCAACTTCAAGCCGGATTCGGATGTTTCCATTCTCTTTTATGAATAAGTGCTGCCAACAGATTTACTCAAAACAAATGGCTTTGCAAAATTACAATCTTGTTGGAAGCAAGTTCGATCAGCCGTAAAAAAATATTTGTTCTTTTTCCTATATGTTGTAATACTTATATATAAATGACAAAAATACAGTAATATTTTTGCTTCAGATACTTTTATGTATTTGAACAAAGATCTTTTTGATATCTATATAATCTAAACAGAATTTTTTTAATTTCATCATCTTTACTATTTTCATAGTATTATTTTTTTTTTGCTATTATATTTGATATACATATGATGATTATAACGTAATATGAAACTTATGTAAAATTGATTTGCTATCTTGTTTATATGTATATAAATATTTATTGTTTGTGAATAACACGAAAAAATAATCTCAAATAAATTTTTACGTTGTCATAATTTTATACAATATTAATTATGTACGTAATGTGTAATTAGATATTTTATATTACGCGTATTACAAGTCTATTTGTTCTCGTAAGTGTCGAAATAAAGACAGTGTCAAATTTATTTTCCTTTCAAAAAATCTGTATATCGTTGTCAATAGCACAGGTACGATACTTAGCATAGAAATTTAATTTTAATTACTAAACAATTTAATGTTTTAGTGGAAATTTAATAATGCAGTGCTAGGTTAATGTTTCATCAGAATTTCTTATAAAAAGAATACTATAACATTAGGGTATTTCATGATATTGGAGTACTACGTATAACCTTAAATGATGTAGAACACGAGAAAAAAACAATTCGTTTATGAATACGTAAAACTTAACCTAGCAGTTTTTCGTATTAATATATAGTATTTGTGAGTATTTATGAAGATAACAAAACAGAAGTTTTCGTTAAAATGAATTTGAACTTGCATAGTATAAATTGTTTTGAAGAAACCGAAATGCTTCTTCGTTCCATAAAAAATTTGTGGCCCTGAAAAGGGCCATTTGTGTGTTTGTCTGCTCCCGAAAGTCTAAGCCTTTTTTTCAGTCTTTTTTGGTAAAAGAACAGCTTGAATGTTAGGTAGAACACCTCCTTGAGCAATGGTAACGCCAGATAAAAGTTTGTTCAATTCTTCGTCATTCCTGATTGCAAGTTGTAAATGCCTTGGGATAATTCTGGTCTTTTTGTTATCTCGTGCTGCGTTTCCCGCCAATTCCAGAACTTCGGCGGCTAAATACTCCATTACAGCAGCCAAGTAAACAGGAGCTCCAGCGCCAACTCGTTCCGCATAATTTCCTTTCCTTAAAAGTCTGTGAATACGTCCAACAGGAAATTGCAAACCAGCTCTATTCGAGCGAGACTTCGCCTTTGCTTTCGCTTTTCCTCCTTTTCCACGGCCAGACATCTTCTATTAGCTTCTTGATGTAAGAAAATAAAGAGATAATGCTCCACAACACCTTACAAATAGAAGGTATCTTTGAAACTACTCCGAAAATTACGGGGTGCTTCGTATATATGCTCATCGTTCCATCTACGTCCGTCCAATAGCAGACGAGAAGTATTTTCATTGGTTCTGGAGAGCAGATGCTTCATACCATGATTTTGTATACTTATACCAACTGTTACGACGTATATAATGATTTCATTTTACGCATTTAACAAATAATATTTTAAGTAATTTTTATGTAAAATAATTTATAAAAGTAATATTTTACACTGAAAATGATTATCTAAGAAATATTTTTATAAACAAATAAGGTGAAATAATATAGAAATATAAAAATTGTAATGAAGTCGTGAAATTGGTCAGGAGTCATGTTTTTCGTACATATATCTGAAAAATCGAAACTTCTGTCAATACAGAAATTTGAGAAGATGAGGATCGACACTTCAGTTGAGGCTTCTGAAGTATCTTTTACTATTGTATCAGTCCTCTTTCAAGTGCTTAGAATGTTGTACGCAATTCTATGTGTCACCACATGAACCCCTGCTGCCACTTAATAGTTTAATTTATGACTTCGTTGTATTTCTTCTACTGATTATAATAAAACAAATATCTTGCGTGGTAGCACAAAATAAATATTACTTAAAAAATAATTAATATTTAAACTGTTCAATTTTCCACGTATTAAAAATAATGGCTCCAAAGAAGGTTAATAATTTTCAAGTAATAATGCACAGCACTACTTCTTTTATATACTACTATTTCAGTAAAAGTTTATTATTAAGTATTAACGTCACGATGTTACTTTCTATCAAGTTCTTCATTGTAACGTACTATTGTATTTCGTGACTGCTTTAGTGCCTTCACCCATAGCATGTTTCGCCAATTCACTGGGCAACAACAATTTTACAGCAGTCTGTATTTCGCACGGTGTTATTGTTGACTTTTTGTTATATGTTAACAATTGGGCTGCTTCAGCTGCAAAACGCTCAAATATTTCTCTCATGAAACTATTCATAATATTCATAGCTTTATTCGATATTTCTGTTTCAGGATGAACTTGCTTTAAAACTTTGTAAAGGTATGTCACGAAACTCTCAACTCGTCTTTTTTTCTTCCGCTTCTTATCATGATCCTCCAATTTCTTAAGCTCTATCACTTTTTCCATCTTCTTTATTTTTTGAGACATTATTCAGAACTCGATCAACTATTAATAAATAAAAATTATGTATAATGTATAATTTTTTGTAAGATTCAAAGGACTGCGAACTAATAACACTTGACGTTTAATCCCTAATATTATAATTGTAGCTCTGTTCAAGGACAGACAATTCTGAAATTTATATCCTAACAATGGTTAACCGTTTATTGTCGAGTATCTACGAATATCAAATTTGCTTACGAATTTCAAGGGTATATGTAAATGTTTACATGACTAAAAGAGAATAGTTTTTCGCTACTGTTAGTACGTTAAATGTTACCCTGATTTTAACATAATTTTACGCTTAAAACAGAAACATCTGTACTGTTGTAAAAGACATATGTACATACTTCTACAATCATACAAAGAATGATTTTTCGCCATTAAAACCTTTGTAAAAAAAGTTACGAGTTAATAAATCTACAATATTTCGTCTATATAAGTTAAGCGATTCTGTTAGTTTTTATTTTGTTATTTGAATAACTCCATTTAGAAATATTTATAAAGGAAAATGTAAAATTTTATTCATTACTTTTCGAGTATGAGCTATTTAATTCTAGTTTTATTACTTTACATCATTGTTGTTGCTATCAAAAAATATACTTAAAAAAAAAATGTATATATGTAAATAACTGTGTATTCTCGAAGTACATAAAATGTGTTGAACACATTCTATGAAATCAATCTTGTGGTAACGGTAGTAGCACCGCACCAATCGCGCAGCAGGGAGTCCAGCATGAAGCCGTGCAGCTCTGCGATTGGTTCGCTGTAGTCGGCGCATTCTGTTATATAAGGGAAAAAAAAACCGCTGAAAATTATTCTACCGCTGTCTTTCGGAGCAGTAGTTACGCGTTGTTTACGAGTTTCAAGTCTCTGTGAAGCATTATTATGCCACCAAAACTTAGCGGTAAAGCTGTGAAGAAGGCTGGAAAAGCTCAGAAGAATATCAGTAAAGCTGACAAAAAGAAGAAAAGGAGGAGGAAGGAAAGTTACGCTATTTACATTTACAAGGTGCTCAAACAGGTGCATCCTGATACTGGTATTTCCAGTAAAGCAATGAGCATCATGAACAGCTTTGTCAATGATGTTTTTGAACGCATTGCGGCAGAAGCATCAAGATTGGCACATTATAACAAACGTTCGACGATCACATCTCGTGAAATTCAAACTGCTGTGAGACTTTTACTGCCTGGTGAATTAGCTAAGCACGCAGTTAGTGAAGGTACCAAGGCAGTTACCAAATATACCAGTTCTAAGTAAGAATATAGCTGACACAACCTGACAAAAACGGTCCTTTTCAGGACCAACAAAATCTATAAACGTTTGGAACCTCAACTTCAATTCACAATTACATGTTTTCAAAAGAAATCGTGCTTTAAATACGAAAAAACTTTGTATAGTAAACTGTCGTATGATTATGTAAAATCGACAATATTTGTTAATGAATCAAATAAGATATACCACTTCACTGAATTGATTATTAAAAATATACTGAAAATACGTCGGTGAATTTAAATTAATATAGAATTATAAAGAGAATATATAAATACAATAATAGAACATAGAACACTCTTATTATTTTTGAATAATTTATATAATAAAAAAGATTAATATAATTAGTATACATGATTTTTATTACGGGAAAAAACAAACATATTTATAGAAAATATTTGAGCACTTGTGGTTTTTTTCTTTCTGTATTTACAGTTTCTTGACAGTATTCTTTTTACGAAATAACTTGCTTCGTCGTACTTTAACTTTCAATGATTTATACAATTTTATAAAATGTTATATTATAAAAACAGTAGAAATTTTATTTCTTACATACGATTCAGAACACTTTGAATTGATCTAAGTTTCGTTATTAATTCCTGCCCGTGAGGTTTGCTGTATATAGTAGTTAAACATTTTGAAATCACATCTTGACATTTTGTTATTATTTTCCGCCTATAATACAATGGATTTTCAAAATTAATGAAGTTTTTATAAGAATAACGATTTTTTTTACAAAATAATAAGTGACAGATACTTGCCTAATGAAATTATTGGTAACATTTGAATGCGAAATGAAATAGTTAACCAAATTTGCTGTTGACTCGATAAGATGAAATTCATTTCCTTCGTTTAACCAGGTTCGTGTATCTTTACCAATCATTCTAAAAGGGGATATTACATATAAACCTTATGTCTGTTGATTAAAATAGATGGAACATACTTCTCAATATAGATGGTATGCTTACTTATAAATATCTAAAAGATCCTCCATTGATACTCCTAATTGCAGAAATCCAGATATAATTCCAGTGTTTGATACATTTAACTTACATGCTTTTATTTCTAATTGTTTTATCAAGAAGTCTGAAAAGTACAAAAAAAAAAAAAAAAAAACTATCACTTTATACCGTAATATGGTCATTACTTTATAATACCCATGCAAAAGATTTATTACCAACTGGGAAACAATGTGGTGATCCAGAGTACTCCTGTCCTAAAGATATAATTTTACTCATTAAAATAGCCATTTTATCTTCCGCGGTTGATGTATCTTTCAGTTCTGTAAAAATGTATTATTTAAATGAAATATTTTCTTTATTTACATAATGCATTAAAGAAATAAACATGTGAGGTATGATGTGAATACCATTGTTTATAATATTAGTCCAGATTTCTTGAACTAACATTGCATCTTGGTGACCGGAACAATGAATTATAGCTAATTTGCATTCCCACAATTGTAAAGGATCCGCATATTTTTCATACAGCTGTAATTATTATCACATATCAATTTTATAAATTCAATATAAACAAATGTGTCAAAGTATAACGCAAAGTTTATAAGCATACCTTTGTGATATCAAGTAACGAAAAATTTAAAGCTCTAAATGCTTCTTCATTAAGTCGATCGCTTATATATTGATTAAAAATCGTATTTAATATCTGCAAAATAATAAATGTATACATTGTACTCTAAAGGAAACTATTGTTCTCAATATATCCTTTATAATCGTATACCTGTTGTTGTATTCTGGCGACTTCTACTTTGTCTTCTAATTCACGTAAGAAGATACCAAGATATGGAGCGTATCCAGCTTGATCGCTTCGCATACAAACCACTGCCCGAGCTAAATATTCAACTCTCTGAGATAATGGAATATTTGATCTGTATTAAAAAAAAAGAAAATAAAAAATAAAAAAATAAAGATGTTCCTCAATTAAAAAAAAAGTTTACATACAATCAATAGTATTTGCAAGCTTTTATACATACTCTTTGGTTGCCAATGAGTCCAAAATTTTAGCAGCGGCAGCATGATTTTTATTTTTTTCATAAAACTGCCAAAGTAAATCTGGCGCATTGACACGAGTAAGGTAAGCTTCTAAAGAAGGTGCTGCAAGCGCCACGAGTTCTCCATGAAGCCTTCTTTCTATCATCCAAGCGTACACCGAAGCATGAAGAATTTCGCATGTGGAATGTAGCGCATCGTTTATAATGTCGTGTAGCTAAAATATGTGAGTGTTAATGAAGAAAACCAAAACAATTTTAATTTAATAAAAAAGAAAAAAGATGCGTCTCACTATTTCTTTTGCTGGAGTAACAGATATTATTGAAGTATTTTGAGGGGGAGGTCCAGGTTTACTAGGTATAGTCGGTGTCAATGGATTTGAAATACTTTGATTGTAAAGATGATCCAGTAGTGTGATGAATTCTTTATAAATTTCTAATCTACATTTTGGAAAAAAATTATGCGTATAATTAAATCCTTGATATATTGAACGTTACTGAAGGTGTAATTTTCTAATCAATACCTTTTCATATAAGCAAATCGTCCTTCTTGATCTTCGATTGGTTCATTATTTTTATAATAATGTAAGGCAGCGTTATTGGCATCTACTCTTTCTGCACAGCAGAGACATAATTCGAGTACGCCCGAATAAAATTGACAAGCAACGAATTGTTGGCTCACTGCGCTTAAATTCAATCTGGGAGCAACTTCTTTGCAAAGCTATAAATAGGATTGTAAGCAGGAGGCATTAAAAATAAGGTGTAGTATGCAAATAATATTATACAATAGCAAAATACTATTATATGTTTACCTTCAAGGCAGACTGTAAGTAACATTCCTTCTCTTCTGGATTCGTACAATTTTTTGCCTTTAAAATTATCTCATTGGCCTACGATAATTCAAGAATACAAATAATACAAAAAAGTGTCGTTCTTCGTAATTAGAATTCAGAGTAGTTTGTTCTCCTCATACCTTAGAACACACTGCATCTTCGCTTCTGTATAAGTTTGGACAAACTTCTCGTAATCTTTGACTAACACCATCGACAGATGCATTATCTCCGAGATAACTGAAGAACATTTACAAAAATTAGTTGAAAGTACTCTTGTACTTCACTTAATTGACGTACCTATCTATAAGATGAATGATCAGTAGTGAAGAAATTTCATGACCAATTAGAATTAAATCACGAAATGTAGCTGTAGAAAATTGATTGATTTGATCCTAAAAATTAGTAAAAAGATTAGTACAATGTTTTCAATTCTATCGTTAAAAAAATGTAATGTTTGTTTGAATAACCTTTGATAAACAATTTACAATATGACTCAAATGATTTTCACATAAAATTTTCCAAAGTTCTAAAACTTCACAAGCATGAGTAATGAAAATTTTTAACGCAGCTAATGAATTCCTTTCCTCAACTATTGGTTCTTGATAATGACTAGATATAGTTGTTTCAAATCCATCAGTTATATTCCTAGTAGAACTATGTCTAGAAATCATTAGTTTAAATAAGTTTTTATAATTTGTGATATGGTTAAAGTAATATATGAAATACGCACTGCTTAGTAATGTGGGTATTTTTATTAAGAAACGATCTTAATGCTTGCAAGAGACTTAAAATCCAACTAACTTGTCTTGTTGAAATTGTACTAGAAATCTGCAATTAACAACACGTGTAAAAAATGTATGTAAACAAAAATACCTGTACAAATCGATATTAATTCAACTTACCTGAGTCTTGTTATTTGCAATTTCTTGTTTAATACATCGCATGTTCCATATAGGTCGAAGTATTCTTCCTACATATAGATACAGACCATTGTGTTTTGCTGAGAACTGTTGTAGAGAAATATCTGTACTAAGACCCACTGGCGCATGAGGTCGGAATCCTTGAAGTCTTAAATCATAGTTTGGAACTCTTGGTATCGATGTGCGTATATCTGTTATAGCATTTATAAGTTTCACAAATATACTTATAAACAAAAGAAAAAATAAAATAAAATTGATGTAATTAATGTAATACCTGTAGTTATATTAGCAAAGGTACTGTGTACATCAATTGCAGGTCCAATACTTGTCGTTCGTTGACTACCATATAAAAAGAACGCTCTAGTAGCCCATTCTGCCAACTATAGATTGTAATTAAATATTGCTTTTCTAATTACTTTTGTTAACGAGATTTTATTTTTACAAAAACGATTTCAATTAATACCTCAGCATTTTGAGAACTTTCAAGCGTGGCTAAAATGAGACACGTTGCACACGCTTGTTCTAATGATTGCGACTGAAAATATGCGCGAACCGCTTCAGTATCAGGTCCACGTTGTTCTAAAAGAAGTTGCTTTAAGATATCCATTGGTCGAACTTGTACAAAGATTATGGCACCCTGTAATTAAGGATATAAATGAATTGTAAACAAATACCTATGGTAAATTCGCGAACTTTTACTCAATTATATACCTGAGATGTCAGAAATATAAATTTTCGAGGCGCTTCCATGTGCTGCCTTACAAGAAGGGGAGGCTCTTCTTGGGAAATATTTTGTTTTTCAATACGTATAGCTGGTTCTACGAGAATTTCTGCCATTGCCCATACTGGACTATCAAGTGACAAGGGACTCTGAGTTTCAGCTAAATAGTTAGTGAATGGATAAGCATCATTACTTAAACATAAAGCTGTTTCTGTATCTCCACCACAAACAAGAATGAGTGTTCCTGTACAAAAAACATTGTATAGTACACAAATTTCGATATTTTGTATTCAATACAAGAATATTTATATATGCATACCTTTTCGATAATGCGCCATTTGTATTTTTCTTGGTCTCATTACTGTAGCATTAGCAGCATAACCTGGCGGTAATCTAACATGTATTAACTGCAGACCCTGAGGTCTGGCTGTTGGATTAGCAACTGATGTACAACTGAAGTAGAAACGTGTTCCGGTAGCTGCAACTACAACTAAGTTTAAATGTACTGATTCTGATTCTGTTATAGCAGATATGCTCACCAATGGTCGGAAATTATTACTATCCAACGTTCTGAAAAGGGTGATACGAATTTTAATTTCAACTTCACGTTATTTAAAATAACTTAGTATTTGTATTAGTATTTAGCATACTTAACAACATGAACAGCATTTTGCACTAAAGAAGCTTGTGACAATGACGCAATTTTGGATGCACCATCGTTATCAATGTCCCAAACCGTAATTGTTCCTTTATCGCCCAGAGTGTATAAGATATTTCGTGAATCGTCCACAGAAATTTGTATTATTGCTTCTTCCTCTGATAAAGCTATAGTGACAAAAGATGGAACTAAAAACGATAAAGGACCTTCAGAATGATTTATTTTTTTACAACGTTTCCCAAACCAGCTACTTTCTGCCTATACAACAAATATGTAGTGTAGTGATTAATCATCATTTTACCATTAATTGTTTTTATATTCCTATTTATCTGGCAAAACTTACCTGATAGTATATTTCATAAAGAGAACCATTTCTGCCACCAAGAAAAATTCTTCCACTATTAGTATTTGCTATAGTTGTAATACCAATACCATCTGTAGCAACTGTAAAAATTGGTTCAGGAACCAGTTGCATTTCTGGTGATGCACCTAAATTAAAGTTTAAAGAATTAAATAAATATTGAAAAAAATGTAATTTTATATTGAAAGTAAAATTGCAATACCTTCAGCATTCTCTGTTAATGTAACTCCAAGAATAGTTATTTCAACTGTAGTTGTAAGGATTAATAAATATTTCACATAAGATTGAAATACTCCTGGTTTGGGTTTTACTAAACCTACACTTATTATAGTTTCATTTAACCCATCAAAATATGCAACATCAGACCTAAAAGTATAATATTATTATAACATTAACATATTTTTATAAATGTATTTTATGAAAGTACTTAGAAAAAAAAAATATAGATAAACATTTACTCATTTTCATATGACCAAACATATATATCACTATCAATTGTAAGCCATGCTTTTGAACATTCTGTAAAAAGACCCATCATACAATGGCACCGCATGTCTAATCAAATGTTAAGAAATTGTATTCTATGTAAAAAAAATATATAAAATAAATATTGCAAAGAAAATCTATACTAATCTATATTAAAAAGGATACGATGAAAATGTTCCATTATTTCAGATGGTAAAGAAATTTTACTATGCACTTTCATTTGATTTATATTTGAAAAACACATTGACATGCCGTTTAAATTTGGGTAATCATGATCATCAAGACCACTAACTGTTGGTCCACCTGTGAAATATATTTATATTTAAAAACTTCTGCTGCAATAAAGCATAAAACAGATAAAAGAGTAATTATTTACCTTGGACATTATATCTCATAAGGTTAATTAAAGAGGGAAAGTTGCTATCTGCAGTAATGTGTATATCAACCACTTTTCCTGCCATTTCTAAGGCATCTAAGTGTATTTTAAGCGGTTCCATTTCAGTGAGAGTCATGTTTGTACGGCACAAGAAAAAATTAAATATTAAATACACACAGAACTAAGTTAACAGAAACACAGAAATGAGAACCAACCAAATACAACGATTGTTTAACATAAATTGTTTTATAATTATTATCAACTATCAATTCATTGATTGTACTTTAATTTTCCGAATAATAATATTTAATTTTAACGAATAACTTATTCGTTAAAACACCATGATTAGAGGTTAGGCTTGTTTATATATCTAAACATGAAACAATATTGAAAGTAATACAACAATGTAACGTTTCTTCAAAATATAATTGCACTTCCAAAATTAAAATACATATGTTTTGGTTGAGAAACACTTACTACAATTTGTTAGAACTATTTATATATTTTTGATGACACTATACGTTTCACGAGGTTTGTGCCGCTCGCGCCATACAGGTGATATTTAAGATACACTGTCATATACACTGCTGCGCATATGGGAAGTAACGAGTCTTATTGGTTTAAATTTATCTTACAGAAGAGAATGAATACATTTGAATTCAAACTGAACCGTTTTATGTATCGAACAGTTATTTAAAGCGGGAAATATTGAACGTAAAAAATAATTGAAAACTATAAATTCTTAATCACATTAGTATCAGTATTTATAGAGTTAATATTCTTACTACATAATACAAAAAAGCTACGTTATTTTCAAAGTTATTAAATATAATGAAGATTTCGTCGTCAATGATGTTCTTGATATTTTTTGTTTCGTTAATTTCTTCCGTTTCTACTGGTAAAAAGTTTGATTTAATAACATAACATGTTCTTAATAGTTTTATTACAGATGATGTACCAAATGCGATGCAAAATTTCTATTGCGACCTTGGATTGAAGAACAATGATTTGTGTCCTATTGATGGTGGCTGGACTTCTTGGAGTCTTTGGGGATCTTGTTTTGGAAAATGTGGATTTAAGGGAAAAAAGAGGAGGCATCGTATTTGTAATAATCCTTTACCTTCCAATAATGGGGCTTCTTGTATTGGTCCCACTTATCAAATTGAAATTTGTCAAATTATGGGTACTGTTTAGGACAATATAACAGAACAATATACATAGTTTACTTAATTCTTGAAAGATTTGTTCTAGGATGTACCATGAATGATTATGAAAAAGTTGTAAGCACTCATCCTATACGTAAAGAAGAACTAAAAATAGTGAAGGAAATTCATCAAAAATTGCCTGCTTTAATTGAATTATGTTTCCTTGTTGATTGCACATTTTCTATTGTAGAAAAGATACTTGGAAACAACGTGGTAATAAATAATAAAATTTTTAATCATTGAAAAATATTTGATAAAAACATTTTTGTGTATTTTCTATGAAGATGCTTTATTGGAATGCTATGAATTGTGTCAAATATGATGTTGGATGTCCAAGTAAATAGATTGTGAAAAAGATGGATATTTTTTATAAGCCTCAGTAATAAATATCTTTCCTAGGTCTTGGAGGTTGGAGTACTTGGGGAACTTGGTCACCATGCACTGCAATTTGTGATAGAGGTCAAAAATATCGTACTCGAATTTGTAACAGTCCTGTTCCTTCAAATTCTAAATTAATGTGTGATGATTCAGCATTTGAAAAGAAGAGCTGTGTGGGATTTAATTGCAAAAAACACCTAAGTATATTAAATGTATTTTATATGCAGGATGGAATAGTATATTATCTTTTAATTTTTAATAGCTGGAATTTGGACTACTTGGAACAAATGGAGTGCATGTAGTGTACAATGTGGTAGTGGAATACAAATAAGAAAACGTTCATGTTCAGAAACACAAAATACACAAGGAACTTCTTGTAAAGGTTCATCCAAAGAGATAAAGGGTTGTGCAATTAATAATTGTTCCAGTAAGTTTATTATCTTATATGAAAAATAATTATGTTTTATAAAAATTGACTTACATTTTTATTAGTAAATGGAATGTGGTCATCATGGACAGTGTGGACACCTTGTACTTCAAACTGTGGAATAGGTACACAATTGAGAAATCGAATGTGCAACAATCCTTCTCCAAGTGGTAATGGTACACTTTGTTCTGGTTTAGCTTCTGAAATTCGTCAATGTTTCACCAAACCATGTATAGGTATATTTCTTATTTAATACTATTATTGCTAATATTAAAATTGATATTAAAACTGATTTAAATTTTATTTTAAAGTTAAATTACATGAAGTAGCACATTTCACAGAAAAAAGTAGTCTTCTTTATGATATAAATGGAAGATCTTTGCGTATACTTCATATATATCTAAGATTTTTAACACTATCCCCTTTTGGTGTGATTATTTATCGTTCTGAAAAGAACTGTAAAGGAATAATGTGTGATTTTGTAAAATTGTTTTTACAAAATGGAAAAATAGTAGTCTGGTCTCAAATTACTGGTTGTTCCTTGGGTTTGATTTATGAGAGCAAATTAGAAGTAAGAAATGTCTTTTATCATATTGAATATTTCACATTTGAAATAAGTTGCCTTCTAGATTGGACAGTGGCATGTAATTTTAAGTGTAATATATGGAACACATGGTGTATTACGTGTTAATAATGGTTATCATAAAGTCAGCACTTTTTCATGCATTCCAATATCATATAATTTGGATCATGCAATGAAAATAGGAGAAGGATTTCAAGGTCAAATTCACGAAATAGCAATTAATTTTGCATCCATTCAACTTCATATGTTAAAAGTTACATTCATTATATTTTATAACTATGATTAATTTTAAATGGTTAAGTATTTGTAAAGCATAAAATCTCATTTAGGATAAATATGATGAAAAACATGTACATGCTCCATCCAGCAGTAACAATGTCCAATATCTAATGGGGGATGACAATGAAGGTTTTATTTATGTTGGTCTAACAGACTCAGTTGCAGTACCATGTCCAAGAAATATGGAACGTTGGCAAGTAAGAAAAAACAATTGATGTTTAAGTAAATTTAGATAACAATAATTATTTCCTAGTAATTTTTATTATAATTGTTGTAATTTAGATTACAATTGTTATAAAAATAGAGGACATAAATGGTGTTATAGCAATTATACCAGATGATTCTTTAAATAAATACATTTTATTAATATTAGAAGAGGGAAGAATAAAACTTAAGTATTATCAGGGAGCAACTTATGTTGCAATTGAAAGTATGGAGCATATCTTGGTAGGGGAATGGTTTGAAGTAGTAGTAGCTCAAGATGGTAAAAATATCTACATGCAAGTTAATGGAAATGAAAAGAAATATATACCTTTAGCTTTGGAAAAAATAACAATTGCATCTACAACTGATATATTCTTAGGAGCTATACGTGATGAAATGAGAGTAAATAATTTTATCAATGAGATTAAAAGCTTTATTTCTGGTGTGAAATTGTCATTTTTTTAAATAGGAAAAAATATGCTTCAACTGTGCAGAGATACCACAAATGAGTTTTACTCTTGGATACCTTGACATAGATGGAAATCAAATAGATCTCATATCATTACCAATTTTGGAAACTACCAGTAAAAGATTTTCCAGTCGTACTATTAGTATATCTGGTACTAATTCTTAATTCATTATCACATACTATATTTAATACTCAAGAATACAATTGTACACAGTAATTTTTTAGATTACTATGAAGAAGTACCAGTGCTTCTAGGGCAAGAACTTAAGTTATCATGTTTCTACAATACAATTCCTTATGAAAAAGGATATGCATTTTCTAAAAAGACATATGCTATATGGTTGTTAATGGATAAGTTATTGCAATCTTATGGAGAAAAGTAAACAATACAAATTGAAACTTTTCATTATACACGTATTTTTTCTGTAATGGTTAATTCTTTTCGTCTAGCAATGATTTTTTTAATCTGAAGGACGATGGGCGCATTAATACTATTAGCATTGCAAGTTACATAATTCGCGGTACAATTGAAAACATTTATTCGTGTTATATCTACCATTATAGAAATAAATCAATTAAAGCTTCAGGTCATGTCCTTTTTACGTTTGGAATTACTGTAATAGATAAAAGTGAAGGTGATACAGTGTTTTTCCTACTATTCTTGTTTAAATATTCTGTATCAAATTGTGCTTCTCTTTTTTTTTTAGAATTTGTAAGTACATTTTGGAAAAAGTGGAGTTTTGTCTGTGGATCCATAATTATGTGTTTGATCTTTGTAATAATTTGGTGTTTATTAGAAATATTACAAGATGTTTGTAATGGGTAAAGTATAACAAAAACAATAGTTTTAATAAAACAGAAATTATAAATAAATTCAAATGAAGCATTGATAATTTTATAGGCATGGTTTCTATAGACTTCCAAAAATCTTTAACAATGATCATATATCTACTATAAACTTTGTTTTATCCAAAAATGGAATAACATTACTTGGTAGCCAGCAAGCTGCAAATGAAATTGTATCAGGAATTATAGAAGATAACTGAATTTTTCGATTAAACAAAAGATGAGAAATAGTATTAATACAATAATAGATAGCTTATTTAAAAACATTCTGTACGATTTATAAAATATAGAAACGTTATTTATCGAATTAATAAAATACCTATATTCTTTTAGTTTTATTAGAAAATAGATTTACACAAATTTCGAATTATAACATTAAATATAATTACTTTTAACAATATAATGAAAAAGGTAACAGTAATTTCTACTAAGTCTCAGTAATATAAAATAATATGGTTTTGTAGAAAAATATTTAAACGATGTGAAATAAAATCTACAAAAAATATATTTATACAAGTACTGCCTTACAATAATGGCAGCTTATATGTACATGTAGAGACAATACAACAAGGAATTCTATAAATACCAATCATTTGATATAAAACAAAGCAGCTAGCGTAAGTTTTTTGCTGAAAGACCATATATTTAGTTCAACGTTTCTCATTGCTTAAATAAATTAATATTTGAATTCCTGCAATCATTATAATTTTCATTCAAGTAGTTATGAATAAATGCAGTATTATAATAAGATAAATTGAGCAAATACTTTCGTTAACATAATGTTAAAGTTTCTAATAATTTCGTAAAAATAATAATGTGCAGGCACATCCTTTGTTAAAGTTAAACCATTATAAGGGTATATTACTCAATTTATGTTTTCCCAGGATTCACTACTACTACTACTGGTAATCACTGAGGAATTTCGGAACAATTGAGGCAGTTCAAAATGCCACTTCGTATCTGTATTTGCAGCAAGACCATTAGCTGTTTCATAATTTAATAACGGTGGTCTTGCTTTAATGCCTAAAGTAGTAGGTCTGTTGTTAGGATTTTCATCCAGCATCATATTCAATAAATCATACTAAAAAATAAATATTTACAATTAATATATTTTTGTGAAAATAGAAATTAAAATTACTTAAATAACACTGTTATTTTCTTACCTCTGCAGGATGAGCATTACTGAAATTTTTTGGAAATACTGATTTCCTTAAATTAATAAGGGTGACTATTCTTTCCATTTCAGTAACAAATGGAATAAGTAATTCGAATAAAATTATTCCTAAGGAATAGATGTCAACTTTATAATTATATCCCTGGCCATTTATTTGTTCAGGAGACATATAAAGGTGAGTACCGACATATGCGGTGTGTAAACTGTTTTTAAATGTAATAGTTTCGTTTTCCGATGGAGGAGTGTGGGCTTCATTATAGCTTTCTGTCATTGCAGTTACAAGACCAAAATCTCCAACTTTTATTTTATCATCGAAAGAAAAGAATATATTCGAAGGCTGAAATTTATTTGTTAAATGTAAAATAAAATTATTAACTTTTACGGGTGTAATATTTTACTACATTTCAAGCTTTACCTTCAAATCACGATGAATGAGTCCTTGTAAATGAACATATTCTACAGCTTCAATTATTTGCTGAAATATATTTAATACACGACCATAATCTCGCATTGACTGATTTTTTAACCACTCTCTGAGACTTAGCCTTTGGCACAGCTGCATTTGTATATAAAGGAACATTTTTGGAGACTTATATGTATTTGATTTATTATTCAAATCTAAAGAGAACGATCTTTGTCGGTTTCTGCTCTCTTCTATTTCTGAATATTTACTGTCTGTGTCTTTGAAGACAATACTTTCAGAATGTGTAGAATCATTAGTATCGAATAATACTTTCTCCATCGCGTTATTCGTATGTGATGAATCAGAAATTTCATTACTACAGTTACTAATATTAATTACATTTTCATTCTGACCAATTGTGTGTGTTTTTTTAAACACAATAAAGGAATCTTCATCTGAATCGTGATTCAGATCATAAGCCTCGCAAGCACTGTCTATTGATGATTGATCAGTTTGACTGACATTAATACAAACAGAATTGTTACCTTTCGTTTCTGCGTGAATTGGTTCTGATGTAAATTCTGAATTTGGAAGCATTAATTTGTTTATCCACTGAGGATCATGTTTTTCTTGCCATCCTGCAGGTGGGCATTCAAGCCATGCATTGAAATATCTTACAATATTCTGATGATCCAATTTAGCCAATGCTTTTACTTCTCGCATTACACGTTCTCTTGAATATGTACTATTAGACAAAGTAAATAAAGGGAAAGATTATAATTTTTTCACGTTTGATTACATTCAAATATATGAAGGTATTTATTGACAAACCTGTTTGGTAGAGCAATTCTTTTAATAGCATAATTACAATCGTCTATTTTATTTTTTGCTTCAAAAACAACACCATAGCCTCCCTTTCCTAAACAATCTACTGGTTCGAAATCTGTGAGATAACGTGATTTAAAACTATCAATCTCTTTTTCATTATTAGTTACTTGATTGTTTTTAGTTGTCTCTATATGTCTCTCAACTATTAAGGGCTATAAAACACACAAAAATAAATTTTCTTAATTGATATCAAATACTAGTATTTCAGAATTTTATAACATCAAACAGATCTACAATATTCCTTACCGGAAGCACTGCATCTTTGGCAACTGTTGTAGCGTTTAATAAACGTTGTGTTAGCATAAAATTAAGTAAGATTGCAGTGGTAATTGAAATAATTACAACTTCTTTCCTATAGAAAAAAATTTTCTATAAAAAATTAGCATTTTGTACTTTTTTATTTACTTTTACATACCACCAATACCACAAAGATACGATTATAATTTGAACAGGAGTATCATCATCCTCTTCATGAGTATTATGTGCTCCAAACGATTTTTGCTCTTCAATAAGCATTAAATTTGGATTGGTATGATTACATTGTTTGTTATTATCTAATTTTAAAAATAATTTTAAAAATTAAAAACTATAATTTCTTCTTTACTATTAACAAAATGTTTTTACTTTATATACCATTTACATAGTCCGAATTATACAAAACTGATAATGCAGTGGTGCTTTGAACATCACTTATTTCAAGCAAAGCATCATAACCATTATTATCAGTTGTTGGATTTGAAAGAGATTTTGTAATTGCATTACCTGAAATATATTGTTTTACTATAATTTTATAATAAAGGCGTCTATATTCTTATTGAATGACAAAAGCTAAAGCTTCATACCAATTGCAGGATAATGTTGCCATGGGTATTTTGAATGCTGCATATATCTTGGTGATGCTTCCAATGATTTATATAGTTCTGCATTTTCTTGTATATATAACTGCCCATTGTGCATACCCAAATAAATACCTGGACTGACTGAAAATTCTGTACCCCAAGACCACTGTGTACTATCAAATAAGTTAATTTCCTTCAAATTTTTGTGACCACTAGCTTTTGCATTTGTATTTTCACGCCATATAGTAGTAATTGGAGAATCAAACTAATAAAATACAAATGTATACAATCAAAACAAAGCTTAAAAAGTATATTTTGTTTCTGTAATTAATAAAAACCAACCTTCTGTTGCCATAACTTTACTGTAGGGTTGTCTTTATTAACAGCCCAAATTAAACCATCAGGTACAACAACTTTAATTTCAATATTTAGAATGTGAGATGCAATTTCATTTTGACAGTATACATCAGAGTGAGGAGTCAGTACTAAATCATGTTGACCAACACTGAAGTTCCACCTATTTTAGTATAAATTTTTTCAATATAACATGTAATTTGTGCTATTTAATAAATTTTACATTTTATGAAATTGACCTTTCAATACCAGTGCGTGGTTCAACTGCTCTTACAGTTTGTTGAAATCTCCGAACAACAAGTACTTCTTGTTCAATATAAGTTTCTCCTTCTGTGATATTCATGCAACCATTAATTCCACATTCATATAAAATTTTTCCTGTAGTACTCGAAACACCTGTTACAAATAAATTTATATTTATATATTCCATTTTTATCTTCTTTTAAAAATAATTAGCTCTTAATAATCTAAGCTCAATAATCTAAGCTAATTAATCAAAGTTCTTAAATAATAATTTGTTCATTAGATATGTTCCAAAATAAATTAACCATAAGATTTGACTTCTCTCCCACCAGAAAATACTAAATCATCTGAATAATGAAAAGATGAATGTAATAATTGGTTTGCAGATATTGGCACTGCTTCTAAATGTTCTCCATCAAATTTATATAATCCACCACTTAAAGATGGAATTAGACGAACCCATTGCCCATTATTATTAAGCTATAAAGAATTATTAAAACAAATTAATAACATGTAAGACATTAAAAATATAACAAAACTTAGTTGTACTTAAAACATTATATGTTATATGTCTTACATACTTCTCTACTATGAATACTTGATGATAACATAGGTCCTTCATTAAAATCTAAGGTCCATTGTTTTTTCCCAAGATTATTAGCATCCAAAGCAAACAACTTCCCATCTAATGTACTCACAAATAATAAACTGAAAAAATGTAGAATATAATATAATAAAAGAAAAGAAAAT